GCATCCCGTCCGCGTTCCCAGCCATTCTGTCCGCGCCCAGGTCTTCAGCTCATGTTCGGTTCTTAATCTCGCGTCCTGGTTCCATTGTCACAACCTTCGAGCCTGGTCCAGTGGCGTGCGGCGCTGTCTCCTCTATGCGACGTCGCGGGATCGATCCTTCTCCTTGCGTAAATAGGAGAGGTTTTTTTGGTTCCAGGCGCGCGGGCTTTCTGGCCCGCATCAGGCCCGCGCGCGGCCCGATCCCTCACCCATCTTCAGCCCGCGTGAGCCCAGATCCCCCAGCCCGAGTCCGCGGCCCAGCAGCCTTGCCTTCGGCCCAGTTTGATGTTCCCTTGGCCCAAATGCGTGGTCCGAGGCCCAGCTTGCACCAGCGCGGCCCAGAACACCACCAGCGCGGCCCAGGCATAGTTCAACCGGTCCAGGCAGTCTTAGACCGGCCCAGATCGCGACCAGCAAGCCCAAACTCGGTCCAGGAGCGGTCTAGCAGGTCCAGCAGCTCCGGTTCGTGTCCAAGGCGGTTCCCGAGCGGTCCGAAGAGTCCAACTCACTCACCGAAGGTCCGAGACGATCCAATGAGCTTGATGAGCGATTGGAGCACCATGGTGACTCGATTAGAATCGAGAAAGGCCAAGTCTAGCTGTCCATTAGACTTTGGTGTTCAGACGATCTCCATCAACGGAAATCAGAGACGTCTCAGAGTCAACAAAAATTTTAAACCGTAAGTCCTAATCCTAACTCTGCTGCGTTAGCAAATAAGTGTGTTTGCAGGTATTCTTGAATCCGACTATTATGGCCCGCATGTATGTTTGTTTTTTAATTCATGTATGTCGTTTTAAAGCCTCGGACATGTCGAGGATTTTTGGGTTGGTGAATGCTTGTAATAATTTATTCGCGCGGTGGGACACCGCATAGTTTAAATGCTTTACTAGATCATTCATGTACGACCCCTGCGTGGGCCATAGGATAAATGTATGTAATTGATATTATGTAATTGTTCGTTGGACCCGGTAAGCGCGGACATCTCTCGATGAGACGAGGCAGGCTACCCCGCGAACCCGTAGTCTATGGGATACGTGGTACTGTGCAAATGCAGACATACTCGTAGGCAGCTTGCTGTCAGATACGAGCAATGTTAAGGTGTTTGCAGAAGGATACGCACGGACCCAGGTCAACAGAAGTGTGGGCGAGGGCGGCGGTAGGCACACGCCAACAGAGGAGACTCGATGGTGACTTTCCCGATGACGACTTGTTCAAGACGAAAAGTGGGAGTCACGGCGAAAAAGGAAATTCCAAGTCCTGAATCGGAAGACCCAGTTCAACAAGGACTAGACTGCGTTTCCCGAAAGATTGGAGATTGATTAAAAATGCCATGATAGTTGGATCTTAGTTCCTCGTTTATTATTGCCTATTAATCATGCATGT